TGTTCGTATTCACTCCCATTTAGCATGTACGTTGACCATGTGTTATGTTCTGATCACTATGATTTGTTTTTTATTTTTATTTTTCTGCCATTACATTGATTACCTGTTTGTCTCTGTGTTTTTTCTGTTGTCTGTGATCTTTTTTTTTTTTTTTTTTTTTTTTTTTTTTTTTTGCAACCTTTTTTGTTTTTCATGTACCTCTGCATGAAATGTGCATGTGCGTGCGTGTGTCTATATGTTTGTGTATTGTTTCACTACCCCGTCCATGCACCCACCCACCAGCAGAGAACCAGGAGGTGTGTGTAGACGGTGAAGCTGCGGTGGGGGGCGTGGCCATCCCAGAGATCAATGTAACGGGCGTGAGCGGTGATCGAATGCCCAACGGGGACTCCCTGCGGCCACGCCCCGATGGCCGTTCCCCGGCAGACGGCGACATGATGGGTGCCACCTCTGAGGTCAGCATGGACCCCCGAGGTCATGACTCCAGCATACGTCTGGAGGTCAGGAGGCAGAAGTCTGTGAGGCGAATGGTGGAGAATGAGGGGTCTGGGTCAGCCTCCACAGGGAGGAACCAGTACTAAGGTCCTACCCCTCCTTCCCCTTGCCCCACTCATGGGGTAACCTAGGTAACCAATTGTGGGGTCGTGGTCTAAAAAAGCTGCATGATCTTTTTTTTTTCTTTTCCCCCCCTTTGTACCTGTTTGCGTTGGGTTCTACCCTCCTCTCACTGTGCTGCTCCTCTCATCTGTCTATTAAGCATCATTCATTTTTACTCTCTCCTTTGTGGCTAAAGCTTCTTCATAAAGATCTCCTGCTGGAATTTCTAAAGGGCAAATGAATTATTTAAGATGCCACTGAATAACAGATCGATAACCTAATAAAAAATGCATTAAAGTCAAAGGAATGACATGTGCTTATGATGAGCGAGTTGATGACATTAAAAGCAGAGCATTAATCAGAGAGGGGAATAGTAACGGTGTTAAAATGAGACTTTCCTGATCAGTGAAGGTCACCCCAAAAGCCTATACTCACTGTTAAGTCATGATGACCTTGAATAAAAAGACCTAGATATCTTTGTTAGCATATCGAGGAAACTCCTGTGTTTTCGCCGCAGTTATCAGAGACCTTCTTGGTCTGTTTGCCTCGACACATTACCCCAGGTTGCACCTGGTCACAGATTACTTCCTTCTGACTGGTAGGTAGGAACTGAGAAACGATACGTTGGTCTTGAATTATGTGCTTTCGCCATATTTAAATTTAGAATCCAATGAGTGCATATTTGTTTTGAAGAGGTTAAATCTGAGCACGAAAGTAAGTGTAACAAGACCTGCTTATCTGTTTTTCAGCTGTTCTGGTGTTTGTGTCACAGTGGTAGCATCAGATTAGAAATGTGTGTTTGTGAAGGTGGTTGGAAGCTCACACACAGTTGTGGATGCATGAATTCAAGAAAACAGGAAAAGTTTTCTTGTGTATTTAGAGTTAGTGAAGAGAGAAAAAATATTTAGGGTGTGCCTTGGTTTGCTTCCCTTACTTTCCCTTCATGGTCTTTCATAGGTTTTGCTCTTAGATGCTGTCCTTTCCTGCTTTTGGGATCAAACATGCACTCCTCTGCCACTAAATTACTGACCGTTGTCTCACAGAGCTGCTGGGTCTCTCAACCTGTGTACTGTACCCTGACTTACTGTTTCTGGTCAGGTGGTGAAAGATTGCAGTGTGAGGTCGCCACCTGCTGGACAGTGATGGACCTCCTCTGTCATCCAGCAGCATGATATTGCGCAAAATTCAAACAAGCCTCTAAAGGATTGAATGGATTAGACTGGATGACAGATGAGGTTCTTCACTTTTGACACGTGTGCCGTTTTCTCATGTTTCTCTTGTTTCCTCTCCCCTTGTCTATCTCACAGACGCAGTGGATCTGGGTTCCCCGGATGAGCTGATGGATATTTCGGAGGTGGATGAAGGGGTTTGGCCAGGTGGCGCGGGGCCTGACATGACCCCACCCACCATCACTATCAGCAACAGTGTCACAACATTGAACCTGGGGGCCAAAGCCATGAAGAAGTGTCGGCTTGGCGGGCGGACCAGCAAGGACAAGGACAAGGAGGCGGGCCCTCTGATGCCAGGCCGGGCCGCCAGCGAGAACGCAGAGCTGTCTGTTAAGCGGCTAACGCTCACTTCCAGCCAATCGGTGCCCAAAGCGGGAGCCCTCACCAGCCTGACGCGCACCGCCAGCGCCGTTTTCTCACGCTCCTTTGAGCACGTGGCCAGCGGCAATGCCCCTCCCTCAAGCAACCACACCACCTCCGAAGCCGGCCGCTACTCCTGCAGCCTGCAGGAGGAAGGCTTGGCGTACTTGAGTCCAGCGCCAAATCACACACAGCGCTCCCCCAGCATTAGCGTTCATCTCGGCTCTGACCTTTGAACTCAAGTGTGACTCTTGACTCGTCTCTGATCCTGTGACCCCATACCTGTGACCTGGAACTCCAAGCCATGCTAACTGCAGTTGACTGCAAAAGAAACACTCCAGCTGTTTCCCCCTTGTCACTCCATTTTTTTTTTTTTTTTTTTTAATCCCCCCCCCCCCCCCCCCCCGGTGTCTCTAACTCTGTGCTGTGAAATGCCGAGCGCAGTCAGAGGCACGAGGACGCCGCTTACAGCTTTGTCTGACTTTTAGCAGTGCGCTCATGACCTGGACATAACTGTGGTTGTAAACGAGCGTGCTTAAAATTCAAAATCACTAAGAAACTATGTGGAAAAGTACTTCAAAAGTGATCTAATCTGTATTTGTTGCCCTCTGCATGGCTTTTCCATACATCCATCCTTACCGCCCAGGTTTGTTAAAGGGCACATGTTGAGTGCGCGAGCATGTTTGTGAGTGAGTGTGTGTGCGTTGACTTTATCTGTACGTACAACTGTTTTTAGATAAAAAGGCTGCTGATTGATGAAGTGAAATAGTTGATTCTCCTAGTTGGAACACTGTTTCTACTACTTTTATAAAAAAAAATAATGATTATAATAATGGATTCCTTCCCATAGCAATACAAAACTGTTCTATTCAGTGGGGTTTTTTTTAATATTTTGGGCTGTTTACTGAATCTTCCTTCTGTTGGCACTTATCAGAAGTTATGCCTGTGCTTTATTCGTCCTAAAGAGAAACAAAAAACCTACAACTAAAACATTAAAAATCAACCAGTATGATAAGAATCTGGTCTTTATGTTTACAATCACACAGTATTCTCATTAAAGATGGAGAAGCAATATTACCCCTACCCCACCAACCCCCCCACCCCCTCGCTCCTTCCTGAACTGCTGTTTATTTGATGGCAAAAATTTAAAACGAAGACAAAGAGGATTTGGGTTTTTAATGGATGATGGCTGTGTGTGCGTGCGTGTGTGATTTAAGTATTAAATTTTGCACATGGAAGAACAAATGAGTTGTGTTTTTTCAGCGCTGGTATTTTCTTATTCATGAGAAAGTTTTGACTCTCAAACATCGTCTTTCCCTGTAAGAGAAAAATGCTTTGGAACCTTTAAAAAAAGAGCAACAAAGTGATTAAAGAATTTGGTACTTCACAGTGAAGTTCCACTGACTCTACCTTAAATGTGGAAGATCGTCTGAAGCAACAGGGCATCTTTCCCGTCCTGTGATCCACTCACCATTCCAGCTGTTTGTAGTGCTTTAGTGACGTGTTTCCTGTGTCTCCTCTTGTCGTTCATCACTGCACAAGACATGGTGATATTCTCTTGTACCAGCAAACAAATAAAAACTCCAACCATCAGCTAATTTTGATGTCTTAAATCAAGCGTTCATGCTGCTCGACCCCCAAGCAAACTTGTAGTCTGTTGTCTGTATACTAGAGCTGTGTGTCTGTAGCGTGGTGGGACAATAATCATGTTTTTCTGTGTGTGGTTTAACAGAATGTGAACGGGTAAGCTGTTGTTGTACATCATACTGTTGTACTCAAGACCGGTTATATTGGCCTTTCTACGTCTGAAAATAACTCACTGCTACAACTTCTGGGAATAAAGTGTTTCTATATTTCACTTTTCTGCTCTTGTGTTTGTTTTTTCTGCTCATCACTAAACATCACACTAAAGTCACCTGAAACCCTTTCAAGTTTTTATATAAAGCATGCACATACAGGACTGTGACAAGTCTGGAGTCACCCCTCACTTCTTATTTTTAAAGTCATCTTGAGCAGTAGCTCTCTAGCCATGCAGGGAGAAGGCATGCTGAGGTACACAAGAACTGGACTGAAAATCAGTAGATACTGATGACCCCAAACACACTGCCAGTGCAGTGGAAACATACCTGAATAGAAAAAGACACAACACAATGCTGCCAGTGATGGATTACTAAAGCAGTGTGGGATCATTTTGACAGCGAGCAGAACAAAATGTAGCCAACATCTGGAGAAGAGCTTTGAATGTTCTTCAAGAATCCTTAAGACTACTTCAAGAAAGGACAAGTAAGCTTGCCTCAGTGTCTAGGCTGTGTTAAAGAATAAAGGTCCTAGTACAAGATATTGACTTTCAAGCTCTGTTTGCCTGTCTTACTGTATTTCAGTGTGTCTTTAGGATTTTGTGCATCTGTCAATAAATAACTGCTCCCATTTTTTTCTAGCAAAACTGCTCCATAGGTACAGTATATAAGTTTAAACCATGTGTGTGATGTGATTTGCTTTCTGCTGATCTTTATGGTTGTCTACATCCACAGTGGAGAAGAACATTGCTCCAAACTATTGACTCTGGGAGGGCCTAATGTTAGTTAAACGGTCTTATTGACTTAATAAAGTTTTGGCTTTAATTAAAGCCAAATCCGCTTAAAGAAAACTGGCATAATCAGTAAAATCATCTCATCGAGAACATGCTATCTGTTTCTAAACTTAAAGTGTGGCAGTTTAGCATGTAAACTCCAACCAGCCGCCGCCACACGCCCATCCACAAGGAGGCGTCCTATGACAGCTGGAGAAGGTAAGTGTTTAGCTCTTCAACGTCACTTCCTTTTTCCTGCCCTTGGAAGCAGCACGAGACTGTCTGTTCGGGATCATAACATGGCTAAACTGAGCAAAGAGAGCAAACAGCGGCTGCAGCAGCTGTTCCAGTGCGGCCAGTTTGTCATCCGATGGGGTTTTATTCCAACCGTGCTGTACCTCGGTCAGTATCCGAATAGGAGTGAGGGGTATGCGGCGAGATGATGCTAATGCTAACCGGTTAGCGCAGCTTCTTAGCATTAAACTGTATTTTCTTCTGTCCCGGTGAGGTTGACGTGTTGTATTGGGGCCCTCGTTAAAACAGCATATCAAACATAACATGATTAATAAAATGTTGCGAGCCCCAGTTTTATTTTTAAAAAACTGAAGTGTCTCTAGTCTATCAGCTATGGCTTTGCTGTACGTTGTAGAGGAACTCCTGTAGCATGAACTCATGCTATGGATTTGTATGGCTAATCAGTTTTGCCTCAGATAGACAGAAATATTATAATTCTGATCATTTATCAGTACTGATACATGTGAGACTTTATCAGAGGCGTGAGCATTAAAGCAGATACCTTTGTGTCAAAGTAACTGAGAATAAAACAGAAAAACATGAAGGAGATTTTCCTGGCCTGGATTTTTATAGCAGATAACCTTTAAAATATTCTGCAATATTACATAATTATAAAAAAAATATGTCTCTCTTCAGTATTGAACATCAGAAATTAGGCTTTCTGGTACGAGGTGGGTAATAAGCAAATGAATAATGCCGAAAACAGAGATTTGAGATGGGAAGCTGTTCTTGAAGTACAGAGAGAGATTTTTATCGTGGTGGAAGCCAAATAGCAAAAGTCAGAGGAAATTAATGACGACATTTATCAAATTTGAAGCGTAGTTTAGTTTAATACTCAATTCCGATTTTTTTGATCAAATCCGATTTTTTTTAGTCTGGTTGTTCACACTACAAATAAAATGTGACAGAAAACGTGCTCTAGTGTGAACCCTCAAGCGGCCCGCATGCGCAAAAGAAGACGTCACACACAACACGCTCTGTTTAGACCCAGACCAAACAGTATTGTTTGACTGATGGCCCTAAATATAAAGACTTGTTTCGGACTTTATGTTTCCTAATTTTGCTTTAAATTATAAAGTTATTTTGTTATTTACATTTGGCCTAATAATTATCCCTATTGCTGTTTTAGTGAGGAGCGGTGCTTCAAAGGATAGTTGCAGATTTCTGTCAGAATCTGCAGATTATACAGTACAAATAAAACAACGTTTCTCCAATGTTGTCTTCCCAACAGTTTCACTAACATCTACACTAGATGGTCAGGAAGTGTTCGGGCGCTTCTCCGGCGCCGATAATTGGCGTCTGTCTTGTGTCAGTGACATAAAAGACGGATGTAATGTGACACGACCATTCAAGCAGCAGTCACTTTCTAAAACATCAGATATGTATCGGATTCAGTACCACACACGAAAGTGACCTAGGTCGGATTTGAAAATATCAGATTTGTGTTGTTCAAACTATTATACCATGATCAGATATGGGTCCCATAGGGTCAAAAAGTCGAATTTGATGCGCTTTCGCCTGCAGTGTGAACGTAGCCTTTGGTGGGTTTTTTTGGGTTTTTTTTTAAACCAGTGCTGATAAGGCAGGAAAAGTAGGTATGGAGATGTAGAGCTGCTCTAAACACGTGTAACATATATTCACATAGGCCGTATATAAATATAAATGTCTCTTCTGAATTTTAAAGCAAAGCAGGCCAAGAAAATATGAGCGATTTTTTTATTTTTTATTTTTTTTAAAAACAACAACCCAAAAGCCCTCAAGCAGTCAGCAACAAAACGGGGTCTGAATTTTAAAGGCGAAAGGTTATCTCTTTATCTTACAAGAAGACCCAAAACACATCGCTTGTCTGTATGTAAATCAATAAGATTTCAAAATTGCCCAAAACGGCAAGTTTACTGATATTGATATATCTGGTATAGGCCAATATTGGCTCTTATTTGTTGCCCACTCGCAAACATAACGCCAGCAGTGGAACCCTACTTGAGGTTTTTAGAAAAAGGGAAGGATGATGGTTTATCATGGCATTTACCACACATAGAGTTGATTGGGTGGCCTGCCCAAGTAAATTAACAGACCCCTGGTATATTTTCTGACTCATATTTTTTTTTAATTTTTATTCTTTTAAATTTGTGGACAGTCCCTTCACTCTTATTTTGAAAGTTAAGTTTATGCTAACATGCTAGGATTCCCATGTTGTGCCCCCACCTCCGCCACAAATGCATATCATTCTGTTTGCAGCACTTTGCTGACTATGCGAGTTGAGTTCCCTTCTGCTTTAGTGATGTAAACTGTGACCTTGTGTGCCTTACGGGTAACACGTCCCTGTGGTAGTAGATTCAAAACAGTTTTTCTTCAGACATTTCTGTGATCCTGAAATAGCTGGCTGTGGTTTGAAGGAGTGTTGGGGAAGACCTGTGCATCACTGTATTTGGGAGCTTTGATGGGGAAGTTGAAACTTTTGCATGGCTGTGGTTTGGATTATGTGGGGGAAGTTGAGACTTGTGCATGTGTGACCATACGCCTTAAGAGATTCCTCTCAGTATATTGGAAACACCAACAGTGATGTCACACTTTCTCTCATTTCCCTCTTGCTGAGCCTTTTCTGCATGTGCAACTCATTTACTTGAGGAAGAATAGTTTTAAATTAAATACATGCTGCTGTTGGGTTACCACCATTTTCTATATATTTCAAGCAAGTTAAACAACTAGTATATTAAATGATGAATGTTTTCACGCTATGGCTATACCACATATATTGTGTCAGATAATATTACGCAAGAGCAAGAGTTGTGCGTCAGCCTCTGATGACAATTTGGTGCCTAAACATGGGGCTACTTCAACAGCCTCCAACATCTTTGCAAAAGATACAAGAAAACTGAAAGAGGCAAACGTGTTTCACCACTTGAGGCAAAAACATAGTCGATATGCACTACGAGGCTACAAAGGAGATACTAGCAGCTGGTGATGTACCACCCAAATGGAAAACCATTTACAGCACTGCTGGAGCGATCACTAGTTAAGACAGGAAGAGCAAGTGGTGTTGTGAAACAAACTGAAGTAGTTACATGGTGGAAAAGCAGGACTTGACAGTGGGGGAGTCTGGCTAGGCCACTCCATGACCTTAATATGCGTCTTTAGCCCCTCCTTTGTTGCCTTGACAGAATGTTTTGGGTCATTGTCATGCTGGAAGACCCACCCACGACTCATCTTCAGTGTCCTGGCTGAGGGAAGGTGGTTCTTTTCCATGATTTTACAGTACATGGCCTTGTTCATTGGACCATCAATGAAGTGAAGTTGTCCTGTACCCTTGGCAGAAAAACATCCCCAAGCATAATGTTTCCACCTCTGTGCCTGACTGTGGGGATGGTGTTCTTTGCTTCATACTCAACATTTTTCTTCCTCCAAACACAGCAGGTCGAGTTGACGACCACACCACTTTCTCCTAAACCTTCTCTGAATAATTTAGATGTTCACTGGCAAACCTTAGACTGACCTTTAGATGTGGCCTCTTGATGCCAGGAGCGTCTGTAATTGATTGGCTGTGTGGCATACAGAAGACATTCTGTGGGAGCCCGAATTCTGGATGGGTTGTAGGGGATCAGCATCACGGGCTGCTTTTGTGCTTACATTTAACTTAGGCTGTGTCACTGGTGTTGCACCATAATACTGCTGCGGATGCTATCGGCACCTTCTTTTAATAAATTCACACTTCAGATTAGGAAGTGTGTCATCAATGACAGCTCAGTGGGAAATGTCTATCATTTGCTTCCACTTGTGATTGCTGCTGCCTGCAAGCTGCAAGTGGAGCAAAAAATTTTTTTTCTACATTTCAGAAATCTTGTTACGGAAAACTTTCTTGAAATATCGTGATGTAATTTGAAGGCTACGTGGCCCATCCCGGTTTCACACACGAATGAATACCTTCCTGCACTTAGCTCAAATCTGGACACTCTGGATCAGAAACATTGGTTAAGGCGAGGGTGCTGAAGGGGTCGAAGCATACAGGAGCTGTAAAGTTGGTGACGATTTCACCGGACACCTACGTGTTCTGTTATCACATGGAAACAATCACTCTGACTTTGCACTGGATAAATGGCCTGTATTTGTATAGCGCTTTACTAGTCCCTAAGGACCCAAAAGCGCTTTACACATCCAGTCATCCACCCATTCACACACACACACACACTCACACACTGGTGTTGGCAAGCTACGTTGTAGCCACAGCCACCTTGGGGCGCACTGACAGAGGCGAGGCTGCCGGACACTGGCGCCACCGGGCCCTCTGACCACCACCGGGCAACGGGTGAAGTGTCTTGCCCAAGGACACAACGACCGAAACTGTCCAAGCCGGGGCTCGAACCGGCAACCTTCCGATTACAAGGCGAACTCCCAACTCTTGAGCCACGATCGCCCCACGATAGATTCTGATACACCCGTATGTAATTAAACTTAGACACAGTGATCACCTGACGGGTCTAAACAAAACAGCCAAAGAAATCAGGTTTTACCCTTGATATTAGGAGAGTGGTAACAGGAGGCTATTTTTCGCCTTCTGGGATCCTCTTATCTTTTTTTTGGAGAATGTCTTGCGTCAGGCTCAACTACTTCCTTGACTTTAAATGAAGGCAGAAGTATTGATATCAGGGGATATGAATTTGTAGTCTTCTGCTGCTTGTGGAATGATCTGATCTAAGCTAGTTTAATGAAAGCAGGATGTTTTGCTGGGTCTGTTTGCATTCTGCTGACGCACTGTAATCACTGAAGTAGCAAATGATTTGCTTCATTAGTTCTCAACAGGACAGTATTTTTACTCACTGTGGCTCGAAACTAGTTATAAACCACAATATGAGTAAAACCGGTGCTCAAATTCATATCTCCAAATTTGAGGGACCACCCCCACCCCCAAAAAAATGCTTTCAATAAGGGGGATTTATGTTTAGATCTTGCCATCATCGTATTTCTTTTCTCATCTTTAAAGTTTCGGTATATTCTCTTTTCCTCTGTCATGTGTGCACCAGCGCTTCAGCACTAATCGAGCCCCACTCATTTGAGCTTTAACATTCAAGTGAAAATAAACCTAAATGGTATGGAGCTGAGCAGTAGAATAGTGCACTTTACATGAGTTATTTACACATTATAAAGTGTACAAAAGAAGTTATGTTCAAGGGGTACAATGTGGTTTTGTGTGGGGAAAAATATTGCACACGAGGACTGCACTGAAATTCAAAACTGTTAGTTGGTGTCTTGTACATTTGAGCGTGCCTTACAAGAATCACCTCGTAATTCTTATTTATGGTTTTGACTTACAGGTTTCAAACGAGGAGCAGATCCAGGGATGCCTGAACCTACTTTCTTAAGGTAAGACGAATCGGTCTGAGATGTGTGTAATAAAATAAAGCATCCTACTCCTAGATCCAAAGTCAAATAATACATCGGGGGTTTTTTTTTGGGGGGGGGCGAACTCCTGACCAACAAGATTTATGTCCAGTCTCATGAAGTAGGGTCATTGTAGGGATTATTCATGTACACTTAGACCATGTACATAAGGATGAAAATACATTATATGTCAAAACAGTTCATTCTTTAAGTAAAACTGCCCATTTAACAAAGTTGAATGATAGCTTGAAGAGAAAAGGATGTGTGATGTCTTAATACCCGCCTTGGAATACTGATGTGAGGCTATTTTTAGTCCTGTAAGAATCTCTTATCTTTTTTATTTCTGTTTTTTTAATTTCTTTTTTTTTTTTTTTTAAGAACCTATTGCATCATCTGTTATCTCAGTATAGATAAACAGGAAAAAAGGTAACCTATATTTACCAGAAACTGAGCTGCTTGTTGCGCCTCCTCCGCCTCCCCAGTCTCAACAGCCCGTTGCTAATAATATCAGTGTGTTTGTTTTTACTTTATATAGAGATTTGATTTTGTTTAAATATGAGAACAAGCAAATAATTCAATATGAAATTATGACTTTAGTTAAGCTGTGGTCATTGTTTTCAATATTTTAGAAATTAACATGTACATTTAGTGTCTTTTTTAGCATGTATGACGATGCTGGTCAGGTACAGGGATGGCACTGAGAATAAGTGAAAAAAGCAACCTATGTCCAAGGAAAACTTTAAAAGACTTTCAAAAAACTTGGAGAACTGTTGCTCTACACCACTTAAAAAAGTTACAAGAAAGTCAAATATAAAGAAATGAGTCGGCACAAGACTTTTGCACCGTTCTGCAAAGCATTTAAACATGATGTACAAGTGGTATGATAGCAAAATTCTCTATTTTGCATTTTAGTGGATTATCTTAAAATCATGAGATGTAAATTTTTTTTGTTTGTTTTCCAGGACTTTAAAGCCCCTTTTCCATCAGTACCTACTCGGATCGACTCGGCACCGTTCGCCATGGTTTACAGGGTTTTCCATTAGGTCATAATACCTGGGTTTTTTTTAAGTACCTGCTTGGCCCGGGTTCCAACGATCCAAACACATATTAAAATGTGACATCATCAGACTGTATACCACCGATTGGCTGGTCAGCAGCGTCACTCGATGGAGTCTGACAAAAAGCCACGGACCGAGCAGTAGGTTTATTCTTGCCTCGACATCCACCTTTTAAATAGCCTTTGTTTTGCATGTTAATTACATCGCGGGACGCTTTGATGCGTTGCTGTGATGACAACCACACAGGCTGCGTAGTACTGAATATAAAGGAAAACCAGTCAAGTCGTGGCCGATCCATGGCGAGTCGATCCAAGTATGTACTAATGGAAAAGGGGGTTAACTGTTTCATCCCATGGGGGGATGTGGGGGGTTTTTTTTGTTTGTTTGTTTGTTTTTTAAATGCACTGCATTCTGCTGAGCTGCGCTAAACAACATCCTGTACAACTCAAAATTGTTGTACAGGCCCATGTAACATAGTTACATAGTGATAGTTGTGATAACGTTTGTAAGCATGTTTTTTTTTTTTATACATATATATATATATTGGCAATGCTGTTAATACATCACACTATTATTTCCTCACTATGTCAGTAACATATTTCCAAGGATGTTTTAATATTGATTTTCTTTGTTGTCTTCTAGCTTGCTCTGGGGCTGAGGAACATCTTCACACGACCAATCCCTAACCATCAACCAAACCATGTGACCCACCTGTGACTGGACGAAATGGACTTCTTTTGCTTTCCCCTCTAAAAATAATAATGATCAGATGACATTTGTACATTGTTTCTCACTATCTGTAAAGTATTGATTGGATGTTATCCATTTCCATGTAGTCTGTAACTATGGTACATGTACAGAGATGTGTGAACAGGTTTGTCCCTTGAAATACACGCTGATTGGACTATCAGTTGGAGGGTTATTTTTTGTTAATGCGAAGCACTGATGTTTGTTTCCTGTTTTTTTCTTAGTTTTTATTTGTAATTTAACATTTCTGAAAATAAATCCTCAAAGAAA